CAGGAAAAAAATAAAGTTACACATGAATTATGTGTGAAACACATAGATAAGCAAGTGGAAAAATGATATACATGCACAGTCATACATCAGTTTATGTTTACTAAAATGTGTACCAAGGACTTTCACTTATTATATACTCTAGTAGAAAAATACATTGTCTCCAGCCTCCAAGCAAAGAAAAGAAGCCACATGTGACGATCTGCCATGTCATCATGCCACATAAGCACCATGGCACAAGATTGCCCATGTGGAGAGCTTACATAGGAAGAATGCTAGTTCATAGTAGAAGGTTCTAGAAATACATGAAGAGTTCCAAGACCTTAGAATTCCATAGATTTTCATGGAAGGTCCTTGGAATATTCTAGTTGTGTAGAATATTCTTGAAAAGGGACCTATTTACAAATATGTAGGTACTTATTTAACAATTATTATTTATATATTAGTCCCTAAGTTTGTAGTATATATAGAGGGACATTCATTTGTAAAGCAATCAAGCAAAAACAATCAAATAGTGTTTGAGATATATAAACGCCTTCTTAAGCAATTCTCTTGTGTCTTTCTTTATTTCCTTAGCGATTTAGTATTAAAAGACTTATTTGAGCTTGGAAGATCGTGAAAAATTCGTGAGCGAGTTGTCAAGCGCCTATGATGTGCTTAGTAGAAGTCTAAGACCATGACAAAGGGGTATAAGAGCGAAGGTTGAGACTAATGGAATGAAAAACTAGGGAGATATTAGTGCTACTATCAACTAATATCAGGCCGGATGGTGGAATAAAACACCAAAAAGGGAGGAAGAATCTTAAAAAGAATGAGGAATTGTTGTACAGACCTACACCAAGCAAAACGCTAAAATCTCACTTTCGCCCACTGAGGTGAGTGATGATGAATGTAGGGAGAAACCCGTAGACGTTATGCATGGAATGAAGTGGATTGCAGGGGTTGACATGACAAGGCAAACTATGGGGATTTTAGGCAGACGCTTGAACACGATAGATAACAAGTTCAATGTAACACCCCGTATCCGAAACAAACCAAAAATGCAGATTTTGAGAAGTTGTAGGTGCAACCAGCGGTTGCCATCCACGGATCATAGGTCAGACCACGACCCATGCTGGTGGTCCGTGGTTCACTACTGCAACCCCTCCCTAAACCCAACTCAGAAAATCGGCTAAGTCTCGAGTCACGGACAGACCCACGGTTCGTAGGTCAGACCACGGTCCGTGGTCGTGGTCTGTGTCCATAGATCGAGACCTCCTTTACCCAGCCTTTGACACAAACTACGGTCGACCAGCACGGACCGTCATTCGATCTACGGTCCGTAGGTCTACTGTAGATGAGGGTCAAAAGCCAGTTAGCTGAAAATTGTTGATGGGTCAACTTCAGATGGTCATAACTTTTAGCACAAAAGGAATTGTTTGTCCCATGACCTATGATATGATAGATAATTGAATCTTCTTTCCAACACCATCGACTTTACTAAAATCCAACCTCTGAGTAAAAAGTTATGCTCGTTTTAGTGAAGCCTTATCGGGCAGACTCGACCGACGACTCCAATCGACGGACCGTCGATTGACCTACGGCCCGTAGGTCCAATCCGTTGGTCACTCCGACAACAATTAAGTCAGGGGTCTTTTGGTTTTTTTCTATTTTGTTGGACCCCTAAGATACGTCGTTTATACCCTAAATCATGAGGTTTTAGTCAGTTTAAGCCTAGAAACATAACTAGAACTTACCTTAGTCAAAATCATTAATCAAAACTTAGAAAATTAGAAGCAAGAGAGGAGGAAAAGGTCAAGAACCCTAGTTCAAGAACGCATCAAGTTTTCTTCAGTTCCAGACCCAAAATCGAAAGATTTCTTCGTGGAATTCGTCACCAGGTATGTGGGATTTCACTAGTGGGTTCCTTTCATCCATTATGTCCCTAGAATTCAGTCAGATTCTTGATTCCATGATTATGAACAGACCTAGGGTTTTTAGAATATCAACAGATCATCATGAATTAGTTATTTAAATGTTCCAAATCAGATTATCATGTTATTACATTGTTTCTCGCATGAATTTCAGAACCCTAGCTATGTATTTCTTTAGTTCTTGAATTACACATGCTAGGTCAGATATCTCAGTTATTCAGTTATACATGCCTCAGTTATTAATGTATCATTATCAGATTAATTGTTGCATTCTCAGTTTGCATGTTCAGTTTTGAGCTATCCAGTATTTTACATGAATTCAGTCATAACCAGTTAATCACTTAATTCATTGGGAGTAGCATAATACCGAGTCGGACTAGGGTTTATCGTACCCATATAGTCCCAGAACTATGAGCCACGTAGGTGTAAGTCCCCTATGTGGGAAACATCAGTTTAGTGATCACGCTAGCATGCCTCTATACCTTTGGCAGGGTATATTAGGTCCTCTTGATGGGGCGTATAATCAGACTCCACATTTAGCTCATGTGGTTTTATGTCGGTTATTAGTAGCTCCCACAGTTCAGTCAGACTCTATTGCATTGGCCATATTTCAGTACAGTCAGTATTCAGTCTCATCATGTTATAAATTTGGTCATTGCATCAGTTAGCTCAGTAGTCAGTATTTTCAGTATTTATATCATGTTCAGATTATTTCATTGCTTTATTGCTTTGTTCAGTTATATGTTATTTCAGCTTTACTTTATCATGCATGCTCAATACCTTTCAAGTACTGACGCATACGTACGCTACATCTTCTCGTGATGTAGGTTTAGGTTCTCAGCATCCAGATCACGTTTAGGTCGGTTCCCGATCTTCAGTCCAGCAATATCAGTGGTGAGTCCTCATTCTTTGAGGACTAGTGACATGTTTATCTTTATCGCTTTTAGTCTTTAGTTTCAGTTTTGTTAGACCTAGTTGGGGCATATCCCAACATTTCTAGTCAGTTTAGAGGATTATTTCAGACATAGTTATATTCAGCTTAGTATTGAGTTAATATTTTCTTTGTATTAAACTCATCAGTTATCATTTATCTCAGTTATAGTATATGGGTATTCTCCATCTTTTCATTTTATTTATGATTATACCTTCCACACAGTTTATATTATTCAGATTATCTTTAGTATGTTCATGATCATGCCAGTAGGGTTAGCTTGGGATCACTTGTGGTCCTAGGTCCTGTGTCTGCGTCTCGAGGGTAGCTCGGGGCGTGACATTTAAGACTCTTATAGACTTCACCCTTGAGGAGAATGAAAACATCCGAAAAAAGTTGGAGGCGCGTAAGCATGTATGATATGAGATTAAAAAAAGTCATCACTTTCTTGGAGGCTCATAGATGTATTAAGCACAATTGAAACTATGAAACCTGAGATAGAAGTGCTCAAGGGAGGAATTGAAGCTGGAGGATCTGCGACGTCCAATGGTGATATGGAGGCCAATATTGAGACTTCCAAGCCACCGATGTTCAAAGGAGTTTGTGACACACCAGAGGTTGAGAATTTCCTTTGGCATTTGGAGAATTACTTCAGTGCAACAAGTGAAGAGTGATGAGAACAAGATCATGACACCTATAAATTTGATGGCAAAAAGTTTAGATGTCATAGCGACACTGAAAGGAAGGCATAAATTACAAAGGGAAATGGTTGTTATACATGCGGTGGGCCGCACAGCTATGCAAGATGCCCTGAACTAAAGAATCTCAGTGCAATATTATGAGAATGGAATGAGAAAGATGAACAAGAATCAGGGCAAGGTTCAAGAATGATATAGTTGAGCCTGATTAGACTAAGTGTAGCTATCACGAAGCAATCAAAGAAGCCAAAAAAAATACGACACACATTATCATGTAGACATCATAGTCAATGGACAACCCGCTCGTGCTATGGTCGACACAGGTGTAGAGGACAATGATCAATCTTGAGCAAAAGTTCTTCCAAAAGTGTCACACGATGATCAATCCTTACCTCCACCAACTCTTGGTCATGGAGAAAGAAGGATCATGTATGGTGCCCCTAGTTAACGTACCAAAGATTGAAGGACAAGCACAATTTTCAGCTATGCAGCTCGTGAAGGGGCTCAAGAAGAAGGGGTCGATGTTCTTGAAAAGCACTACAAGTTTTGAGGGAGACAGAGAGAAAAATACATTGTCGTGTTCCACATCCTTTGGAAGGGGAAATCATTGGAAGAAGCTACTCGGGAATGATATGAAGACTTGTGGCTATTCAAAGATAAGATCTGAGAGTTTATGCAACAGCAACGCACAATGGTCGTCGCAACATCAGGCGGGGAAGAGTATGACAACCCATCACGTCATCAAGCCATATAAGCGTCACGTAAGTGCCACATGGAACAAGGTTGCCTATGCATGTAGAGGGCTTACATAGGAAGAATGCTAGTTCATAGTGGAAGGTGTTCTAGAAATACTTGGAGAATTCCCGTGGACAACCTTAGAATTTGATGATTTTTCATGGAAGGATTGGAATATTCTAGTTGTGTAGAGTATTCTAGAAAAGGGACCTATTTGTTATTATGTAGGGACTTATTTAACAATTATTATTTATATATTATCCCCTAAATTTATAGTATATATAGAGGAACTTTCATTTGTAAATTAATCAAGCAAAAACAAGCAAATCTTCCAAGTGTTGATTGATACAAAAGCATTAATCTTAAGCAGTTCTCTTGTGTCTTTAATTTCTTCATTCTCTTTGCCATCTAGTATTAAAGGTTTACTTGAGCTTGTAAAATATATCGTGAAAGATTCGTAAGCGAGTTGTCAAACGTCGTATGCTTAGTAGAAGTCTAAGACCGCCACACACATCTACATTTTATCCTTGGCCACCAAGTATCAATTATGTCCACAATGACAACTTATAGGCATGCAGTAGACACATGCCTATATTATATTGTCACATGGGGATGGACCTCACCCCACAATTGGTTATATAACAACACATGACACTTGAGATTTTTTGAGTGAAATTAAACCAATATAATTAACTTACTTGTTAAAAACACCAAACATCTCCAATAATGGCTACTCCAATGACAGGTATAGTGGAAGTGATGGAAGAGCTTGAGAGCAACGTCAGATCAGAAAATCCTACAGTAAACCTTCAGCTTGTTGTTCATGTTTGCCGCCTCGGAGCTCAGTTTGTAACCTCCCTTGATGGTGCATTCAAGTTTGCTGCCGTTGAAGTTGAAAATAAGGTATTTTAATTATCTTTTTAAAGGGAAGGATATAATTTCCTTTTATTTTCTTCGGGAATAACAACTCAGTATAGTCTAAAAAGTAAGATATGAAAAAGATAGGGTACACGCAGATCTTATTACTAGTATAAATAATATTTTCGATTGTGGTAGGCCAATGATATGGAAGAAGCTTACCAGAAATACAACACGGTGGAGGTTATGTTAGATTATGAAATTACAAATGGTCTCGCAAGAGAAAACAGCAGCCATACAAGATTCCATCTCAGGATGAAGCGCGCATCAGATCTACTAAGGGTCTTTTTCCAGGAAATCCTTGCAAGAGAGTACGTATAGCTGACCACAACTTGTTTGGAATATAATTAAGCATATATATTAACGTCATTATATGACAGGGGAGATTCTCTTGTTCCTCCACTTAAGAAAGCTTATGATGAGGTTTTTGGGGCATACCATGGGGAAAGCGTTAAGATGGCTGTCTATGTTGCCATGGAATTTATGATGGACAAAACTGACTTCTTAACATTGATTCATGATGATGGTTAGTACGTACAATATTATTTTACCCTTTCACTGAAAAAACAAAACAATATATATGAGTGCTTGTAACTTGTCTAATATATTAATATAGGAGTATAAATTAGTATGAAAATCTAGTTAGGTATAAAACATGTCTCCTACATTCCCCACCAAAAGAAAACAAAAATCAATCAAACCATGAAGGATGGTCAAAAAAATTAAATTAGATATTTCTATTCATGATCTAAACGGACAAAAACAAGATTCAAATTAGATATTTCTATTCATGATCCAAACGGACAAAAACAAGATTTAAATTAGATATTTTTATTCATGATCTAAACGGACAAAAACAAGATTTACTCCATATATATGGGAAAGGGTCAAAATTAAATATCCTTCGATTTTATTTAATAGTTAGATTTTTCTTGGTTATACTATGTGGTCATTCATGTCCTCGCCATAAACAAACAAGATAAAACATTAAGGGTGTGTTTGGTATGAAGGAAAATGCTTTCCTAGAAAACAAGTAGACTTTTGACTTATTTTCTCATGTTTGGTTGGTGATTAGAAAATATTTTCCGGAAAAGATTTTTTAGTGTTTAATTTATGAATGAAAATTATTTTTGAGAAAATATCTTTTATATTTACTAGAGAGTAGAAAATTATTTTTGAATTGAAATTGAAAATATTTTTTAAAAATAAACTTAATTTTTTTTGGGAGGGTGGGGTGGTGGGGCTGGCGCTGGAGGGGGGGTAGGGGTGAGATGGGGTAAAAAAATAAAAATTTGAAATTAAAAATATTTTTTAAAAAACAAACTTAATTTTTTTTGGGGGTGGGGGGAGGGGTAGGGTGAAAATAAAATTTTGAAATTGAAAATAATTTTTAAAAACAAACTTTAAGTTTTTTTTTTTTTTTTTGGGGGGGGGGGGATGGTAGGGGAGTTGAGGGTAGGGGTGAAAATAAAATTTTGAAATTGGAAATAATTTTTAAAAACAAACTTTAAATTTTTTTTTCGGGGGGAGAAGGGGTAGGGGGATGGCGGGTGGGGGGGGGGGGAATCGGGGTAAGGGTGGGGTAAAAAATAAAATAAAATTGAAGTTGAAAAATATATTTTAAAAAAAGCTTTAAATTGATTTTTTCAACAAAAAAATTGTATTGAAGTTGGAGGAAAGTTTTGGAAAATGTTTTCCTTACTTTTTGAAGGGAAGTCATTTTCCTTGAATTTGAGGAAAATGAGTTGATTTGGAAAACATTTTACCCAACCAAACATGAGAAAATTGGAAAATATTTTCCGGAAAATGTTTTCCTTCGTACCAAAACACACCCTAAGGCTTTTTCGCAAGTTTTGGCAGATTTGACCAATTTCTGAAGAGTTATGACTTTTTAAAAAGGATTGTGACTTTTTTAAAGGGTTGTGACTTTTCTAAAAGATCGTAACTTTTTCAAAGGATTGTGATCTTTTGGATAAAGGCATAACAAACACATGTTCATACTATAAATAAATGGGTTTTCTCTCATTTCTAACAATGGATTTTCTAAACTTCTTCTTCTTATGGACAAATAAATTCTAGTGTACTTTACTGCTATTGGGTGGTTTGTTGAGACTGTCATTTTAGGTATTGATACAATGGTGAGTAAAATCGTTCTATCCTGAGAGGATATATTCTATTAACCTTGAATACTTAAGAGAAATAATTTCCTTAAGGAAACATTGTGAATTCAGTGGGCTCGATTTTCTTTGTTGAGAAAAATATTTTTCAGATTCATTTTGTTTATTGGTTTTTGAGTTTTCTTGTTTTAGTAATACTCTACTTTGTTGTTTCATACAAAGTTCTCCAAAGTACTTGTTGTAAGTATTTTAGCAATACATATTAGATACCACTAAAAAGTTTAAAATATGATAAAGTAAATCAAATAGGGTTTAACATATATATAAAATATAATTTTAATTATATATAAACAATGTAATTTCTGATATATTTTAATCAACATCTACTATATATAACGTTATTAAATTCTCTTGGTATATTTTTTTTTAAATCTCGTTATTTCAATTCTTGGATCCGCCACTGAATACGAAACATAATTATCTTATCATGAATTGTTTTCAGATGAGGCAGCGAGAGAGCTGATGAAAAGATACATTTCAGCATCATCATGTGTTTGCCAATACATTGAGCAGTTGTATCGCTCTACCAAAGTTGGTGAAGAATTGCTTAGAATGATTTGAAATATATATATATATATATATATATATTTGCTACTAATTAGCGCATGATAATGTGCAAGGACCAACTCAATGATATTGGTGATTTGAAGTAAAATTGTAATAATATGCTTTGAGAGTTTAATACTTCTATTTGACATTACTTTTCTAGATTTTGAGATACGGTTATTAATTAATTTTTATGACTTTCTTCTAATAATTCTTTTTTATTTCATAATAAACCCAATCTACTTAATCTTTTTAGAGACATTGGGAAGACGTGGCTAAAAAGAAAAGCATGTATCGCTAGCAAACCAAAAATTGATATTGGGGGTTTTCTTTTTTTCTGTAGAAACTATTTTGTTAGACATACATCTACCTCATATATATTAACTAGCTATAACGCGTGTGTATTTCTATCAAGTATTTCAAACTTTCTAAAATGTCATGAATATTGTGTAAGTGTTTTCAATTTGAAAGTGAAAATATAATTTTTCATGTAAAAATATATGTTGCAACAATATAAAACAATTGCAAATGACGCTGTAATGTTACTCTTGAACAATATACTTCAAGTAGAATATTGAATAATCTTGTTGATTTATATTACTAAAATCTAAACAAAATGAAGATTAATTACTCAATGCTTATAATATTACAATCAAAATGTCCAAAAGCAAAATTGTCATCACACCAACCATTTGAGTTTTAACACTGCAGAAAACTACCATCAATATAGATTGCTCATATTTAAGAAAATTATTAGGCTTAGTGTCGCACAAATATAAATGGAACTCTCATTTTTATTTGAAAATGAAGTTGTTAATCTCATTCATACAAATCGTAGAAAAACTAAAAATAAAACAAAAAGGGTGAAAATGAACAATAGATGTATGCGTTCGCAACAATATATTAGATAGACGATAAAGTAACACAATTAAAATCTTTCATTCAAAGTAACAATTTTTTTAGCGGTAGCTTTATTTAAATTAATTTGAATTTAGACAATTGACAACATGGATATATGAGCATATTGCATAAATTATTCAAGTATTATCAAACTCATCATACATTAATAGAAGTTTTGTCGATTAAGTAACACTTACAGGAACAATAACACAATGACAAATAAAAATAAATTCCCACAACAATGCAAAATGATACAAAAATTACATAAAAATGTGGACTGCATACCAAATTTAATTTGGACAATCATACCTTGACTCCAAAATGAAAAAGAAAAGTTGAAATTATGAGCTAATATACATAAGATCTCAAGGAATAGGTTATCTCTTCTATACTTCTAAGTTCAACTATTCTATGGTAAGAAAACTTTTCTTTTTCATGATTTCATCTCTTATACTTCTAACTTCAACTATTCTATTATAAGAAAGCTAACTTCATAATGGTGTCATATGTTCTTCTCCTCAGTTAGCTGCTTGACTATGTCATCTGTTCTTCTAGGAAGAAGATTAGAGAACCTTAGATGACAAAAAAGAAAAGAATATGATGATCTAGGGACAAGCAAATTGTGGCTATAATTTACTGGTATTTATAATGATATTTAACTGTCTTTTCACCTACCAAATTTCAATAATAAGACACACTGAATCATGACACATAAATTTTATTTTTGGTTTCAAAATTTAAAAAATCATTGAATTGGAAGAGTACATATTGAATCATGACACATAAATTTTATTTTTGGTTATTCAAAGAGTCACTGAATTGGTAAAGTTTCATACATTGTTTTGTCTTATACTTTAATTAAATTAATTAATCTAATCAATTATAATTATAATGCCATGACATAAGAATTAAAGTATAGTTGTTGGACTTCATATATATCATAATGTAATTAAAATACCAATGTTTAACAAATTAAGTAACCATATAATATATGATATATAGATTATTTTAAGTAAATTGAAGGAGAAAAATAAAAATAAATACAATTTTATTTTTGAAAAAATGTAACTGATTTATTTTTTAAAAGGATAAAAATGTCTAACAATTTTCTATGAATATTTTTTCTTTGAATTTTTTACTTAACACCTTTCCACTTTTAGAATTTAGTGTAATATAATAATAAAATTATATATAATTACTATTTAATATTTAATTGATTAGCTATTTCATAATATTTTTATTTAGTGTAGGAGTAAAATGGTATTTCAATTTTTAACTTTTTTTGTTCCCACTTTTAGTATATGATATGATGATATGATTCTACCAATATTTTCAAATAATAATTACATGTCTTATCATTAATTAAGAGTTTTTCACCATATATTGAGGAAGGATACATCAAGATATATGTATTTTTACTATCAAATACACTAAAATAGGGAGAGAGAAGCTATTGAGATGGGGAGGGAGACGAACAGGATAGTCATGTATCGTAGTATTACAAACTAGAGTGTATCTAAGTAATTAACTCTTAAAGTAATGAGATTTATAAGTTTTCCCTTTTCTTTTTTACATGTAAGGACTCATTAATCATCACGCATGCCCATGTTTCCTTCTTCTAAGTGGACGTTTTTGGTCACCATTAATAAGTAAGTCGAACTACATAAATATGCATTTTAACTTTACACATTTGATATCTATGTCCTTTAATTTTGAATGTGCACAAGTAGGTACTTCAATTTGTATAGAGTTGAACAAGTAGAGACACTGTCCTACTTGGCGTCCCACGCGTGGCAATTCACTTTCTATGTGCATTATACCATATATGATGTGTGTATCTACTTATTCAAATTTATACAAGTTTAAGTGACTAGTTGTCTACCCCAAAATTGAAGGATATCGATGTTAGTTAAGGCTAAATTAGTTTGTATATTTATGTATTATACCCAAAAATAAAATAAAAAATGACTTAGGATAGATCAAGTCTAACTCAGCAGTGATAGACATGGGTATCTCTTCAGCCATAATTATCGGAGAATGTAACCGTATATCCCGCCTCAAATTGGAGATCGGTAAAGTTATAGTTTTTAAATTTATATGTTCGTAGTATATTACTATTTATTACTCTCCTACGTAACTGCGAGTCATTTCAACTGAATCAGTCTTATTCACCATTTCTAGCCCTTATATTCTTACGAGTTAGCTTGGTTCACAATAGAACCTTTGTATAGTAGGTTTATTCTTGGAAATAAGCTCGTCACAGTAATAATACTTGTGGCAATAAAAGCATAACGCAACAATACAGTTAATCAACAAGATTGTAAAGAACAATAATGACACCAAGATTTTTTACATGAAAACTTCACGGACACTATCAATATGTGAGTTCACACTCTCCGTTTTTCCTCACCAACTATTTCTTAAATCTTGTTTGTGATGCCTCACTCTTCTTTCTCTCTTTTGTTTGCAGTGTATTACAATTGGCAAGAAAATGACCTTTGATAGTTGAAAAATGTAGTGGTCTCCTAGTATGCTAGCTATAGGAGAAAGTTAATTCTCCTCCACATCTTGCCAAACTTTGGCTCCAAGGAAAAAGAAATCAGCCAAATTGGCACATGGGGTTGGACCCTATGGTAAGTTGTGAAAAGATTCAGAGCAGGAAATATGTAATCTTCTACTATAAAACATGAGAAATACACCCCTTTTATCCATACTCACTTCAACATTTGAAAAAGAAGAGCATATTTTCTTTCTAGTTCTAGCCATCTATATGGATATTGCAGTTTCAGTTATGCAATGGTGTTGTGGTAAGCCTTTGGCTTGGGCATGGGATGAGGTGAAAAAACAGTGTCTTTACTGTATAAAATATAAAGAAAATGCAGAGGTTTTTGAGAGTGAGGCCACAGAATTCCTAGAAAAAGTTCAACGCCTCGAAGAGGCCGTCCAAAGAAGTGGACGACACAGCATCAGGGAAGAGCTTCAGAGACAGCTTGATAAATCCACAGATGTCAAGAATAAGGTGAATGTTCTAACAAGCGATAAGGAGACAGCAACAAGTACTGGTTGCATCTCCAACTATAAGCTTAGTAAAAGAATTGTTAAGCTGAGAAAAGCTATGATGCAGCTGCTACAAGATCCGGAATTCATTTCATTAGTATCTCTGCAACCCAAAGCAATTAGGCCGCGCTCTCGTGCTGAACGGCCTGATGATTTTCTTTATTTCCCCTCAAGAAAGCCAACCATGGATGAGATCATGAATGCCCTGAAAGATGAGGGGCGTAGCACTGTACGAGTATATGGCATGGGAGGTGTGGGTAAAACCTACATGGTAAAAGCATTGGCAAGTCGAGCTTTGAAGGAAAAAAAATTCGATCAGGTTGTGGTATCAGTCGTCTCGCAAACTGTTGATTTGAGGAAAATTCAAGGGGACATTGCTCATGGCTTGGGGGAGGAACTTACCTCCACTGAAGTGCAAGATCGTGCGGAAGACCTTAGGAACATTTTGAATGACCACGGTAACATCCTGTTGATCTTGGATGACTTGTGGGAGACAATAAACCTATCAACCATTGGGATACCACAATATTCCGAGAGCTGCAAATGCAAGATCTTAATCACTACAAGGCAGATGAATGTGTGTGACGATCTCGATAGGCAGTACTCCGCCATCCAAATCAAAGTCCTTTCAGGCGATGATCCTTGGACATTGTTCACTCAAAAAGCTGGAGATAATCTGAAGGTTCCGCCTGGTTTTGAAGAGATAGGGAAGAAAATTGTTGAGGAATGCAGGGGATTGCCAATAGCACTTTCAACTATTGGAAGTGCACTGTACAAGAAGGACTTGACATATTGGGAAACGGCAGCTACACGTCTCCAGAGTTCTAAAACTGCATCCATTAAAGAAGATGATCTCAATTCTGTCATCAGAAAATGCATAGAACTGAGCTACAGTTTCTTGCCAAATGATACGTGCAAGCGGGTTTTCCAGATGTGCTCCTTCTTTCCTGAAGATTATAATATCCCCAAGGAAACCTTGACAAGGTATGGCATGGGACTGGCCTTAATCCCAAACATTGAGAGAGTCAAAGAAGCAAGAGGTGATATTCATCAAACAGTTGAAGAACTCAAAGCTGCTTCTTTGCTCTTAGATGGCGATAAGGAGGAGACTGTCAAAATGCACGATGTTATACGTGATATTTCAATACAAATAGGATACAACCAGCAGCAACACAAGAGCATTGTTAAAACAAGCATGAAATTGGAGAACTGGCCAGGGGAAATCTTAAACAACTCATGTGGAGCAATCTCACTCATATCGAATCATCTTAAAACACTACCTGATAGAGTAGACTGCCCTGCAACAGAGATTCTATTGCTTCAGGATAACAAGAACTTAAAGCTAGTTCCAGATGAATTCTTCCAAGGTATGAGAGCTCTAAAAGTCTTGGATTTTGCTAGTGCAAGAATCAAGTCCTTACCCTCCTCAACTCAGCAGCTGTCGCTTCTTCGCTTGCTCTCTTTGGATAATTGCAGATTCCTAAAAGATGTATCTATGATTGGAGAACTTAACAGGCTTGAAATTTTGACTCTAAGAATGTCGGGGATCACATCACTGCCTGAAAGTTTTGCAAACTTGAAAGAGCTACGGATTCTAGATATTACATTATCTGTTCAATGTGAAAATGTTCCACCAGGAGTAATATCTAGCATGGATAAGTTAGAAGAGTTATACATGCAAGGCTGCTTTGCAGATTGGGAAATTACAAATGAAAACAGGAAAGCTAACTTCCAAGAGATATTGACCTTGGGTAGCTTGACAATCTTGAAAGTAGATATCAAGAATGTTTGTTGTCTACCTCCTGATAGTGTTGCTCCTAATTGGGAGAAATTTGATATATGTGTTAGTGCTTCAGACCAACGCAGGTTGGCCAACGCACCACAAGAGGCCTCATTTACTAGAGGGTTGGCCACTGGCGTGAAGTTGGAAGCATTTCCAGAATGGTTTAGGCAGGCAGTAGCACACAAAGTAGAGAAGCTGAGCTACCAATTATGTGGGAATTTGAGCAATATTCTACAAGAATACCACCATGGAAATTTTGATGGAGTGAAATCTCTTTATGTAGACCAGTGCGCTGACATTGCCCAATTGATAAAGTTGGGAAATGAATTACCAAATCAATCAGTGTTCCCTCAACTAGAGAAGCTGAACATTCACCACATGCAAAAAACGGAAGGCATCTGTGTCGAGGAGTTACTACCTGGATCTTTACAAAAAATCAGGACTCTGGAGGTCGGAGAGTGTCCTAATTTGAAAGATTCACTCCTTCCTCCTAATTTAATTCAAAGAATGCCAAATCTTGAAGAAATTAAGGTAACAGGAACCTCAATCAATTCTGTGTTTGGATTTGACGGCATCACATTCCAAGGTGGCCAATTAAGGAAGTTGAAGAGATTGACACTGCAAAATCTTTCTCAACTAACTAGCCTATGGAAGGGTCCTAGTGAATTAGTTATGTTCCACAGGCTAGAAGTTGTTAAAGTGTCACAGTGTGAAAACCTCAGGTTTATATTCCCTTACACCGTTTGTGATTACCTTTGTCATTTACAAGTACTATGGCTAGAAGATTGCAGTGGTTTGGAGAAAGTGATAGGTGGTCACACAGATGAAAATGGAGTTCATGAAGTACCAGAAAGCATAACTCTCCCAAGACTAACTACTTTGAGGCTTCAACGTCTACCAAATCTCACTGATTTTTACGCTCAAGAAGCATATTTACATTGCCCTGAATTGCAAAGACTGCATAAGCAGGATTGCAAAAGATTGAGAACTAACCTCTCTGATTACCATAGTGATCAGGAAATCCAAGAAAAGAGCAGCTGAATCGTCAAGAGATTTTCATACTTTTATATAGTTTTGTATACTGTTTTTTACTTTATTTTTTCCTTAAATTAAATTTAGTGTGCTTTACTCATATTTTTCTCTTCCAACAGAGTTTAGGAATATGAAATCTATGTTGCAACTATAGATTAAATTAAAGGATCATTTTGTGCTGATGACAAGCACAAATACTACCTTACGTCTTTTACCTGCATGGTTTCCTATATATCTCCATTAGACTGAATGATCAATTTTCAATTTCAACCACTGAGAACAAATATAATTTATGTTAAACAGAAATTCGATGGACTAACAACAGAAGTTGCATACATGCTGATAACAACTACGCAAGCCCTAACTGACTATTCGAACAAGTTTCGCAAATAATTGAGAAATAATTGAAAGTTTGACTATCCATTACCAAATTGTGGTATCCTTCTCATCAATAAAGAATACTTAGAAGGCTTCAAATTCTAGCAAACAGCAGACAGTTGAGAAATTAAATGAGAAAAGAGAAGCTTCCTTCCAATCAAAAGTAGATATAACTAATAACAAATATCGTTGACTTTGAATAATAAAGACTCGAGAATATTCTCATGAAAGAGTCTCATTTTTTAATTATTCTTTTCTTTTTCACCTATAAGTGAAAGACAACAAATAATAATCCTAATAATATTGTTAATTATTAAGGATGTCAAGCCCTTTATCTCTTCTTCTACAATGGCCTTCCTTCTTCTTAATACTCTGTCAAATCTTTTATGCATCTCAAGCTGATCTGGGAACAGCAAGCCAATATAGCCCACCATACACACGTAAGTTAATTTTCATTGCTTAATTATGTTTCATTATAATTATCCGCGCAATAGTAAGAGTTGTCATCCTATTACTAGAAGAGCTAGTCATGGATGCAATCTGTGAAAATAATAAGGCTATGCACAATAGATCCAATGTGATCGATCTAGTTTCTTGGATCCCGTGACTAGAAGACCTAGTCATAGATTCAATTGCAACATAAAGCTACATAACATAGAACCAATTTCTCGCTTCTTGCATATAGCAGAATCTTAGTGCATCGTACTACAAGCTTATATATTTCATTCTGAATGATATATCTTTCTTTTTCGTTGTACTAAACGCAGCGAGTGCATGTTTTGGGAGTGATTCAACACAATTTCCATCAAGCAACTTCTTTGCAGCAGCTAGTGAAGGGATTTGGGATGATGGAGCTGCCTGTGGAAGACAATATTTGATAAGTTGCATTAGCTCTGTTTTGCCTAAAGCTTGTAAACCAGGAGAAACTATACAGATCAAAATCGTTGACCGCGCACAAAATCTAACTTCAACACCAACAAGACAAGGAACCACTATGGTCCTTTCTACTGCTGCTCTTGCTGCAATTGCTGATTCAAATGCCCTTTCTCTTAATATCGATTTCCGACAGTAAGTAATCATTCATCCTCTCATTCAATTTAATTATCGTTTTCCTACAAAAGTAACTAAACTAAGTTTGATTACATGTGCTAAACAAAGTAAATTATTACTACTACTACAATTATTGGAAAGAGATAAAGTAAACAACTTTAACGTGACTAGTGCACATGTGAGAAGTACTTTCTATTTTTCAATCGGTTTGTCTGATTTTAATTTAAAAATAAAAAGACACTTAAATTACGTGTGAATTATTAGTTTCATTCCTAAACTATTGACAGCTTTAAAAATATCATTTTATTTGACTAACTAAACTTAAAAACACTCTAAATTCTTGTCAACTTTAGGGGTGTTTTCAACACTTCTTTCGTCTTTTTATTAAGAGTGTCATGCTTCTACAATAGTTTGAAACCAATTGATATGTCATGTGGGTGATCGGAGGTGTATCTAAGTTTAGTTAGTTAAGTAAAGGAGTGTTTTTAAGGCGATCAATAATTCATGGACGAAACTAATCATTTGCGTCAAGTACAAAGGTGTTTTTAATATTTCTCTCTTAAAAATAAAATATGTAAAATGTATGTTAATTTTATGATCTCAAATAAAAGTAAATAAACAAATTGAAACACAAAAAATACTTTAATTAAGTTTAAGTAACATGGAGGAATCTCAACCTATCAAGATCGAGTGTTACATCAAATTAATTATGATCAAGTCGTTGCTATAAATTGAAGTGATTGATACGTCGAACCTAACTCCTGTAGTAATTACCCTCAATTTTGATGCAAGTTGTACATAATATTGACCCCGTCAATAGACTGGAATGACATAAAATAAAAAGGGCCCCAACTATGAAAAAGATGGAAATGTGTTTAAAAGGGTATTTAAGGAAAAGAAATAATGAATGCAAATCCTATATAAATAATCCTTTTAGGGCCTGTTTGGAAGGACACCCTGGTAATTGGATTTGGTGTAATTAGTGTAATTACATTGTCTTGTCCTGTTTGGAAGGACATGTAATTACTTGGTCAGCAGGTAATTGGTGTAATTGACAGGGGGTAATTACACTCTACAATTCACAGGCAGAGACTGTGAATTGCTGGTAATTACATGGTGTAATTACCACCCAATTACTTTTTAATTTCTTTTTTTTTTATTTCTATTTTTATTTTTTTGTTTTTATTTTTCTTACTTCTATTATTTTAAGTTCTTTTTTATTTTTATTATTCTAAAAATTTGTAAAAGTTTATTTTTTATTTTATATATTTCATTTTCTTCTTGTTCTCAATCTTACTTTACGTGATTCTATGTAATTTTCTCGTATTATCTATTTCTTTATGTCATGCTTACTTTCTCATTAGCATAATTTTATTAGTATTCTAATTTTTAAATTGAAATAGAATTTATTGTTAAGTAAGGTTATAGACTTACGTTTTCGTTATTAAGAAAAAATAAAAATAATTCATATTTATTGCTATGTTGAAATTTGTTATAAGAGTATTATGCTAAATTTTTTGTTTTGAATTTATAACCTATGTTATATTTTCAGTTTCATTTGTTTTAGTAATGTTGAATTTACATTGCACGTCATTTTTTAATTAGACTTGATAGATTATATTTTTGTCAAACATTTAATAATTTATGAATTTTATTTACATATTATTCTTTTTATCAAACATGCATTTCACGATGTTCGTAGAAACTTCATATTTTTAGTTGTTACTATCAATTCAATTGAAATATATTAATTTGAAAAAATATAAATCAATTATTTTTTCATAATATTAGTTACAGAAAATATGTTTATTAATTAATATATTTTCAAAAAAGAATATATATCTTAAATATTTAATTTAATGTCATTTATAAAGTTTCTTATTTGTCTAGTATAAATTTTAAATAATTATTTTTTATTTTTAAAATTTATTATAATTTTATGATTGCAATTGTGCATCCAAACAAAACACGTGTAATTACACTGTGACATCCAAACAAGACATGTGTAATTACAATGTGGCATCCAAATAAGACATGTGTAATTATAGTGTAATTACACTGTGGCAATCAAACAGATCAGTGTAATTACTAGACAGTTAATTACTAGGCTAGTAATTACTACCCTAATAATTACACCAATTCAATTATCAAGTGGCCTTAAGAAAATTATGCATTTCAAATTTTGAACAACATTTCATAAATTTAAATGTTCTAATGTTAACATTGACAGATAAGAACTCTTTGTTACTGCAGGGTCTAGAAGGAAAAAAAAACTAGTATTTTCTTGACGCACCGTTTAGATAATATTTGGTTGAAGTTGAAAAAAAGCAAACAAACAAGTGTTTGAAGTTGAAAAGGAGCACTTGGAAGGAAAAAAATTGTATTTAGACGTTAATTTTACTTGGATTTTTTTATTCGAAATTTTGGAAGTAAATCACCATTTCACTTGAAATGGCCCTTAATTTTTAAAATTAGAATTGAGAAGCAAAAATACAAAAAACGATCGTTTGATTTGTAAATAGTATTTCATTATTTGCAAATAATTAGTGTATATGTACCAAAGGCAACAATATGTTGAGCTTGCACTTTTTACGTACCTGGGTTATCATTTAGTGAATCGATTGTATATTAGTAATTAGCCATCCATTATATTTGAAACAAATCTGTATTTGTTCACTTTAGCATATCTAGAAAAGGACAAAAAAGTTTTATGTTTAATTTTTAGCTTTAATTGTACAATTTTCAAGTCTATTAAAAATTACCATGTAGTAATTAGTATGAGTATCATGGTAAAATATACATTTCATTTGTTATTCTTTAACAAGGATTTTGCTAAAGCCATTAAAAAAGTAAATGTGAATGGAGTACTTCTTATACTATATGCTTGGTGTATGCATCTTAAGGGATCATTTGATACATGAACTACATAATTATCTTAATATAATAGTCTTGGAATTATTCCTAGACTAAATTTATCTCACCTAAGAGATAGAATAAAATAATTTCAAGTTGAATGTGATAAGGTGGGATATTTTAGGACTAATCCTAAGATTAAATTTATATTGTATTTAATTGATGGAATAATTTATACCGTCATCAAACACAATATAAATTTTACTCATAATTAATTCTAAAATGTCCCACCTTATTTCACGTATAAGAATGTTAGGCAATGTCTCATCAATGTGTTGGAAGTTAGAAAAGTTGATCCAATAAATTTGATGAAGTCAATGTCGAGATAATTTTGAACATGGAACATCATTTTATGAAGTTTAAGAAACACACTTAAACTATACCTTTTTTTGAGTTTCATATCTAAACTATTGAGAGTGTGAGTTTCATTCCTAAACTATCACTTTTTAGTTTGAGAAACACATCTTTCTCTTTTTTACCACTCTCATCATAGTGTGTAATACACTCTCCCTTTTATTTTTTAAAAATTCACATCACACTCCACATGGACAAAACATTCAACCTTGACAAAAATTAAATAAATTATTAGTATTAGTTAAAATTAAAAAATTAAAAATTATTATCCAAAAAAATAATATTTCTTTGATAAAATAAAATGTAAAATATTTTTCTTACCCCACTCCATCACTTCCTCTCACCCATCCCCACCCCCCATCCCCGGGCCATTTTTTAAAGTTTTTTTTTTTAAAATTTCTTTTATAAAAGATTTTTTTTCTTACTTCATCTCCCCCCCCCCCCCCCCAAATACTAATTTAGATATTACTTTTAAAAAAAGAAACAATTCTACCCACCCCACCTAATTCTCCGCTTCCAATTTTTTTTTCACATTGTGTTAGATGTATACATATCGAAAATATTTTTTACTTACCGCCGCAAGATATTTTTTATTTTTTTACTTATTTATGTTATATTCGGTACACTAGTAAAAAAAAAAAA